CACCTCCACCCACAAGGACACAGAGGGGAGCCTTCTGCTAGCCAAGAGCAGAGTCCTCATGAGGAGCCACCTGTTGGCATCTTGACCTTGGACCTGCAGCCACCAGAACTGTGAAGAACTTCCACTGGTGAAGCCACCTGGTTTTTGGCATTGTTACTGCAGCCCAAGCTGACTAATAAAGCGCACTAATTAGTTGGGGTTTTTTTTTTTTTTGGTTTAGTTTTTACAATCTACTGCTGACATTCTAAGATGAAGGCTAGAAACAAGGGACTTCCCACATATTTTGCCCTGAACATCTCTTCCAGAACAAAACCATATTTATTGACTCAGTCATTCCACTTCTGAGAATCTGTTTCAAAGAAATAAACTAAGCTGGGTGCAAAGGTGTGCACTTGTAGGATTGCTTGAGCTCAGGAGTTCAAGACCAGCCTGGAAAAAAATAGTGAGACCTCTTCTGGGGGAGGGGTGGGGGGAGAAACAAAGGAAAAAGAAAGATCCACAGAAAATAATAAGTATCATCACAGTATTACTTGTAATTTAAATTTTTTTACAAAGCCCTAACTGTCCAGTAAYAGAATGGTTAACAACATTCACTCAATAGAATGCCATGTAGCCATTTTACAAGATCATTAAACTTTTATTAAGTACCTGCTAAATGCCAGGCACTGTGCTAAACAAGACAGATACAGAGATAAGAAAAACAATGCTTGCTTTCAAAGAATTTACATTGTTATTCAAAACAAGAGAGAGAAACTCTCTGGAGAAACCTAAATATATCTGGGAATGAACAGGAATTATAATCTAGGATCTGTGCACAATGAGATCATAGGAATATCCAAGGAGGTGAGGGCAAGGCAGAGCTTTTTAAAGCAAGAAGTTGACACCCACTGTCTGGAAACAAGTTTATCAGTCAGAAAGGCTCCCCACAGGGGCTGGTTATTAGTCACAGGCAATGCTAATGGTTTCTGGGAAGTTGTCTTCACAGAAGCAGCCCATCTRGAAATGTTTCATGCTGTCAGACAGTCCGTGCACTAGTTCTTACCTCAGGTATATATGTAGAAAGGCATCGTAATACTTCTTCTCTGACACACAAGGATGAGATCCCCTCTCATGACCTCCTGGCTCCACTGTGGTTTGTAGTTTGGGTCTGATGTGACTCCACATTGTCTTCAAGAGCCTTCACATTACCCCCTTTTGATCAAGATCTGTACCCAAAAGCATCATCACCAATAATTTAACTTGTGGTTAGGTTTAGATTGTCCCTCAGTGCTGAGATGGACCAGTCCCAGTTGGTCTGATATGGAGCTGGGGGAAATGACCAACAGTTATGCTGATGTCAAGACAAGTCGCTGTTAGCCAGTTTTGAATGACAAGGAGATTTAGAGGGAGTGGCTCTCGGGGCTAAGTCTGCCTAGAATTTACTGACAGGTTTAACTTTGTTCCACAGGCACTGGCTGTCATCTTTCAGTGCTGGGCCAGCATTATTCTATTAGAAGTTGTATTTCTACCAAAATTGACAGGCAACAGGTTTGTATTTCTAAGAAATCTGTCAGGAAACAAAGTTTTTAAAATAATGCAAAGTAATAATAATGATCCTATGATGATTCAGATTGCATAATAGTTTTTAGATCATGAACGCAAGCCTGAAGGTAACTGACTAAACAAATTGAATGATCTTAGAGAACTGGGAGAGACTTAGATATTAGGGGAAAGTAGAAGAATTTATCATCTATTCCAATCAGGTAGAAAATAACTCAAGATCAATGAACAAAGCTACAATCTAATGAAGTTTTCATTTGAAATATAATTTTTCTGTCTTCAGTTCCCCCATAAGTGACKCCATCTTGCTATCAGCAGCTTTCACAGCATTTTAGTAGAAAGACACAAAACATTTATCCAATCACTCAAACATTTTGTAAGCACCTACTATKCGCCAGGCACTATTCTAGGCACTGAGTAGGAACAAAATAAAAACCTAATCACATGGAGCTGACTTTCATGGAGGAGGGTAGATAATAAATGATTATAGGTCAGATGAATACCTATGAAGAAACATGAGGCAGAGTGAGGGGAATAGACAGGGCCAGGGAGGCAGGGGTCAGTTGCTATTTTAGGTCCAGTGGTCAGGGATGACATGTGAAAAACCACTTAAAGTGCATAGGGAGCGAGCTGTGTAAACATCTGGGGGTGGGGGCTTCTGGGTGGGCCCAGAGGCAGAAGCATGGCTGAGCATGGCCAGGTAAAGAGGATGATCCCTTCATCCTGATCACAAGAGGGTCCTGGCTGGGCAGCACGGACTAGAGAACTGCACAAGCTCTTACTGTTGTGTGACATTGGATGCCGTGGGGAGGGTGGGTGGCAGCAGATGAGCTTGGGCGGGGGCTGGTAGTTGAGGACTTAGGACATTATTCACACCATGGGGAGTCAACGAATATTCAAGCTGGCGGTCATTCCAACCCATCATTCTGACAGATACATAAAGGAGGGAAGAGCGTGGGCAAATTTATGAGAAGCACTTAAACATGGAAGGTGGGATACTTAATTGCTTATATTTTATATGTGCATGTATAAAAACACGAGCAGAAAAGGCTAGAAGAAATGACATCAAAATTACAGTAGTGGATTGGGGTCATGGCTCAGTGGCAGAGYGCTCGCCTAGCACTTGTAAGGCATTGGGTTCGATCCTTAACATCACATGAAAACGAAATAAAGACTGTGTGTCCAATAAAACTAAAAAAAAAAAAAAGAACAGGCACTCTGCTGGGCACATAGCACACACCTGTAATCCCAGCAGCGGGAGGCTAAGGCAGGGTCTCAGGTTCAAAGCCAGCATCAGCAAAAGCAAGGTGCTAAGCAACTCAGTGAGACCCTGTCTCTAAATAAAATACATAACAGGGCTGGGGGTGGGGCTCAGAGGTTGAGGGCCTCTGAGTTCAATCCCCAGTGGCCCCCACCAAAAAAAAAAAAAAAAAAAAAAAAAAGGCCAGGGGAACACTTTGTCTGAAACTCTATTTGGCAGTGCTTGGAACAGGTGAAACAAACACCTTTCAAACACCATTAGGACCACTTCGTGGGCATGGACCGTGCAGTGGCACAGCCCTCAATGAAGGGCCTACATTTGGCTTAGTTCTCTACCGTCACCATCTTGAAACTTGAAATCTTAAACTTGTTATCTCTTCTCCAGATGTGCCTCTAGAACCTCACTTACCCCAGGCCAATGACCAGTCACACCTTAGAAATGATTTATGTGCCAAAGAACTGTGGGACCTTTACCTCTCTAGGGACAAAGTACCACAAACCAGGGAGCTTGCAACAATGGAAATGTATTCTCCCACYGTTCTGGAGGCCAGAGGTCTGAAATCAAGGTGCCAACAGGGTCATGCCCTATGAAGGCTTGAGGAAACAATCTGTTCTGGTCATCCTCTTAGTTTCTGGACTGGCTGGCAATCACTGTCATTCTGTGGCTGGTAGACACATCACTCAAACTCATTCCATTGTCACATGATTGCCCACGTGTCTGCATCTTCATGTTTTCTCTTCTTAGAGGGATACCAGTCTTAATGGATTAAGTCTCTTCCTACTCCAGTATAACTTCATCTTACTGAGACCTCAATTATATCCACAAAGACCTTATCTCCAACCTAAGTTACAATCAAGGTCCTGTACTAGGACAGAATATATCTTTCAGAGACATAATTCAACCCACAACAATGTGCCATCAACAATTGGAGCCAACCACTTGGGTCAAGATCATCAGGGAGGGGGTAACTATAAGGCTGGATAGGAGGAACTCTTGACATGACACCCCCCCATGACTTAGGATTCTACCTTCCAGCAAGGAGACCTGGGACCAGTCTTAATTATTTGCTGAAATGGCTCCTTAAAATTTGGCCATGAAGACAGCCTAAAGTAAATGGAGTGGAAAGTTTAGAAAGGCATAGTAACAAGGAAGGAATCCAGAAGCTTTTGGGAAGGGAAGGTGTCTTACTCAGCCCCGGCTGCCATAGACTGCAGAGCCTAGACAATAGGAATTTACTTCCCACAGTTCTGGAAGCTAAAGGCTGAGATCACATTGCTACACAGTTGGGTCCTGCTGAGGCCTCTTCTGTCTTGCAGACCTTCTCATCCTGTCCCCACCTGGCAGAGTTCTGATCTCTTCCTATAAGGCCACTAATCCCACCGTGGGGACCCCATCCTTGTGATCTCATCTAAACCTAATCACCTCATCCAAAGGCCCCATCTCCAAAAACTACACTGCAAGTTTGGGCTTTAACACATGAACTTGAAGACACAATTCAGTCCACAACAGAATGTTAGATGAATTTACTATGTGAGCCCAGAGAACCCACTACCTTTACTGTCTGAAGGTCCAGAGAACCCACCCTGCAGTCAGTATGCACTTAAGGCCAGCGAGGGTTATTGTTGTCTGCAGCCTGGAGCTGGTGGTAGGAGTTGCTGCCACAGAACTGAACTTCCTGGTGCCAAAAGAAACAATGGGATTCCAGATGGAATGAGGCAGTCATACTCAAGAGCAGTCCTGGGTTGCAATTATTGGTAGCCCATGCTGACAGAACCCAATGCTGTTGCTGGTTCACTTTTATGCATTTAGGCTCTTTGTCTAAAAATAAATCTTCTGACCTAGCATTATCAAGAATAAACGAGTCGAAAACATTCAGCCACCTAGCTAGTAACCAATTCTTAAAAGGACACCTGACACACATGTATTTTTCCCAACTTAGGGACATGTCTCCCATGGGACACATTTAACATCCTGCATTAGTAACAGAGTCAAAATGAAATGGGTGCGTTTTTTTTTCCCCCTGCTTTGTGAAACAGAAGATAAAGGTGTGTCTTACAATTGATGGATTTTAGATTTGATGACATAGTAATGTATAAATATTATTCAAGGTGGGAAATGGTAAAGCAGTGCTAAACTTTGCACTTCAGGTCCACAGCATTATAACTGGGCATAGTGCCACATGTGGGTCCACTCATTCACCCCACAGACACAAGGCTTTCCATGCACAGACCCAGGGCTAAATGCTGAGGCCCCGCCCTCCAGGCCCACTTCCACTCTGCCTTCCTTTGGAACCCTGTCCTGGACTGTTGTCCATCTGGGACTTTTCTTCAGAACTTCAAAATAGAAGCACAGTTGAAAATAACTGTAATTCACCACTGCTCACCAGAACCCAAAGTCAAAGAGTTACAACATCACAAATAAGAATGATGTCCAGCAGGGTCAGGAGGGGAGGGGCTTACAATCCCTCATACACTTCTTTACAGAGGTTTTAAAATTGTGGTAAATTTAGAACTCTCCAAAAGCCCAACACTAGATGGAGACATGGAAGCCAGACAGCAGTACAGGAGCTGCCACACTCGCCTGAGTGCAGCCTCTCAGAGTTCAACCACCTCTGCTCCCATGCACCCCAAAGTAAGTCCTCAGGAACACACATGCCTACATTCCAAGTACTGGGGATTAGGGGATAATCTGACAGCTAAGGCTCAGAATCCTAGGGGATCTTGGAATCCAGCTTGGGCTGAGATCTCCCATAGTTGGGGTGAACCTTATCAAAATGACAGGGCTCCAAACTGGCCAGCTATGCATAAGGTCCTATCTGAAAAGCCCATGTTGCTGGCCTAAATTGTTGAGATGGAGACTAACCAGGGATTCTTCAGCTGCTGCCAGACCACATACAATTTCCTCCTTCCTTCCTTCCAACTTTCAGTGCTTCTGCAACATTCACTATGCCCATGCCACATGCTGGCATTTATGCCCCCCTACCCCCAGTGCCACAGATGGGAGATAGCCCTCCTAGTCCCAGCGAAGAACAAGGCCTTGGTTTATGTATTCATCCCCAGTGAGGCACAGGTTGGAGCTTTGCCTGCCAGCTCCAGCAACAGCTTAAAGGCAAACCTTACACCAGCCAAACAGTACCTCATGGGGGCCAAAATGGCCACGTATGAACTCTGAGCCAGAGAGCCCAGCCCTTCTGGGCCATCCTGGCCCATAAAGTTGCCTTTCCAGGTTGTAGGGAGCAGGAAGTTGGGAGCCACAGAAAACCCCATGAATTTTACAATAACTCACCAAGGCTCTTGGTTCTGCACCTGACGGACGCTTGGACCCAGCTTATAAAGGGAGGCTAGGTCAGACCTGGACACCACCTGAGGAAACACGTTAGAATCTGCCCAGTTAGTGTGCAGGGAAGCCTAGGGCTACRCCAGGAGAGGGCAAGCCCACACTCCCCTACAAAGCACTGAGCACTASCTTGGAAGTAGGTCTTCCAATTTCACTCCCTTCCTGGAGAGGTCCAAGGAAGCCGCTCCCTCCCCACCCAAACAGTCCCTCCCTACAGAGGGCCCTGCCTCCAGTCCCCCACATAGCCTCCCTGCAGCAAGAAGTCTTCTGGGCTTTGTCTACTCAGTCCCTGGAAGAACAGCCCCCCSGCAAGTCCTACCGGGCAGCACCATACACTCCACAGAACAAGCATGCTCCCCTTAAGAGCGGTAGCTTGGATCCAAGGGGCACTCAGGATCTCTGTGTCCTCAGTAGTCACCTTAGGGAGCTCTCTGGGTGCTACCCGGCATTCTCCATCTTCACACTAGAAAGAAAACTATGCAGGGACCCCCGCAAATCTTCTTGATCACTGCCACTCAGCTGACTGCCCCCAGGATGCACCCTGTGGTCCCACTCAGTTCCAATATCCTCGGATCTGGGTGGAACAGAAGGATCACTGGGGGACCTTCCCCACGGTGCACCTCTAAGGAGGCCTGTGGGTGGCTCATGGTTTGGAGAGCCTCTCTCCCAAGCTGTACAAGCAGAGGACGAATGGCTGGCATGGCTGCCCTGGTGGCGCATGAGCCATGAGCGACAGCTGAAGCTCTTGCCACACTGGCCACAGGTAAAGCGCTTCTCCTGTGAGTGGCCACGCAGGTGCTGCAGAAAGGTGGGCTTGTGTGCAAAGCACATGCCACACTGGGTGCACTGGAAGGCGTGCTCCCCGGAGTGCACGCTCTGGTGCACAGTCAGGTTGGCCAGGCGTGTGAATCGCTTGTCACACTGTGTACATGGGAAGGGCTTCTCACCCGTGTGTGTGCGACGATGCTCCACCAGTGTGGACAGACGGCCGAAACATCGACCGCACTGCGTGCACGGGAACGGCCGCTCACCGGTGTGTGTGCGACGGTGTTCCAGCAGCGTGGACAGGCGGCCAAAGCGCTTCTCGCACTCAGCGCACTCATATGGCTTCTCCCCAGTGTGCGTGCGGTAGTGTGTGGTGAGTGTCGACTGATGAACAAAGCTCTTGCCACACTGGGCACAGGTGTAGGCACGCTGKGCTGTGTGCGCACTGCTGTGGCTGGGGAAGGAAGCCTGCTGCGGCAGGCTCTTGGGACAYGGCACACAGGTGAAGGGCTGGGGGTCGTGGTGTGAGCGCGCCTGCTGTGCACTGCATGTTATGGGGCTGCTGCTGAAGTTCTGGGCATGCTCAGCACAGGGCCAGCACTGCTCTGGGACAGCCTGGCTCTGGGGACCTGGAGGGCAGGAGGTCATCTCTTTTTCCCTTGTGGCATGAGGCAGATCTCCACAAGTGCCCCCCTGCACGTCCTCCTTGCCAGGTCCCCCTTCAGCTGCCCAGGCTGGCTTCAGGACCTCAGACTCCCCATCCAGGCTGCTCTTCTCTTTGCTGGCTAGCCAGGTCTGTGCTAGGAAGGGACAGAGCAAGTGAGTCATCTCTGGAACCCTYGTCCTTTGCTCTCCTGTCCTCAGTAGCCCCTGGTTGCCTCCAGGGACCCAGCCAATCTTATACCAGCCAAACAGTGGCTACTTGTGAGCTCTGAGCCAGAGAGCCCAGCCCTTCTGGGCTGATCTCCCACCTGCCTTCTGCAGATTTCCCACACCAAGCTATTCTATCAAATGTCACCTGAATGCCCTCTTCATCCCAGCTCTGTTCCTCAAGGGTCCTCTCCACCTACAAGGCCTCTTTCTCTCACCACACTTCAAGCCTTCTCAGTCTGTGCTCTCCCAGGAGCCTCCCAAGACCAATGCAGTGATATTTTTCCCTGGAAGCACCTTGTCCATGCCACACATGGCCACAGGACGTCCTGTCTGCCACAGCTCAACTGCAACACATCTTTGCCTGCACATTATTAAGCAGATGTACTTTTTCTTAGGAAAATTTCCCTCATTTTCACAAAATCCCAAAGGGCTCTCTGGCTCTCTTCCTCTTCTTTCTTTATACTGTTTATCTGTATTAACMGTCTCTCTCCTCCTAATTGTTTAAGTTCCTTGTGGGGACAAGGGGAATCTACATCTTATGCATTGATGAGTCCCTTTGGGCCTAGCACCACACTAGCTRGTTTGTAAAATGAAGTTACAAAACATTTTCAGGAATAAAAGGAGAATGAGTTCATGCAACTCTACTAGACGACACCCCCAGCAAACAGATGAGGCCACAGAGCTACAACACAATACGGGCTGACTGGCACTGCCTCCCCTTCAGCACACTCCTGCAGGAGAAGGCTCTGCTGGAGGTGCTTGGAGGCTCCCCTCAGGACCCACGGTCCAAGGCCCAGGGATGCAGCCTGCAGCCCTGCCCTCTGAGCCTTACCTGAGCACGGGAGTGCAGGGTGTGCAGTGGTCTCCTGCAGGTTCCTCCCACATTCTTCTTCCTCTTGCTTGATCCAGGGCAGACTGCCTGGGGGAGATCCCAGCTGTTCTGTGTCTAAGGGAGAGGGGATAAGGTCCTGAGGGTATCAGAGGTCATGGGGCTTCTCTCCTTTTACAGTCACAGTCTGGAACCAGCCATCAGCAGGCACTACCAGCAGAACTACAGATCCCAGTAAGAGCAGAGCAGACACAGGATTTCGAGGAACACTAACAAGTACTATAGCAGGGAGTCGGGAGAACTGGGGTTGTATATGTTAGGTCGGTGGCAGCGACTTGGTGGCGACTTAGTGGCAACTTAGAACAAAGCAGCACGGGCTGCTTTGAACATCAATCAGATGCCAGCGGAAACGCCTGTCAATCAGCCAGATCTCCTGACTAATGYCTGTCAATCAGCAGGACCCCCTGGCCAATCCTGGAGTTCAGCCAAYTCCCCTGACCAACTCCAAGGGGGCAAGGGACCCTAGAGACCCCTTTTCCTGTCCCAAGCCCTTCCCTTCCTGCTGTAAGCCCCATAAAAGTCCAGTCCGGTCGAGCTTCCACTTGGTTTCTCCTCAGACCCTTCCCCTGTCCCCTCTGTGGGTCTGAACAAGTTCCGCCCAGGAGTGATATCTCAATAAAGCCTGTTCAGCGGCCCTTTTAAATCTGCCAACTTTGGTTGCTGCCTGCCCAGCCTGATCTGACAGCATGGCCTGTGAGTGACTGGYTGAAGGCTGTGATCAGGTGGCCAGCAGTCTTCCACCACCACCTGTAGTAACAGAGTGCCTGGTGTTTGGCTGGGCCCATGGAACAGCAGAATAAAGACCATGTTTCTGGGCCTTCCCTGCCAGCAGACAACAAATGGGATGAGAGGGACTTCGCTCCTCTAGTTACATGAACTCTGACAACTTCATCTAGAACAGGAGGAACCAAGGCTGTAACATTTTTAAATGTGCTTCCCCTCTTGCTGCTGCTTCACCCATTTTCTCCCATTGTCCCAGACATGAAACACCTAGAAACACTTAAATTGGGAAACAAATACACCACTTACAGTAACATCAAAATACTTATTATTTTTGCAGAACTGAAAACTTGTGAATTTAATGGGTTAATGGCCAAGACGGCAGTGAGCCCTGGGGACAAGACCCACCCTAGGAAAGGTGGAGCGACCAGCTGGAAGGAACTTGGGACTCTGACCTGTCAGGAGCTAGAAACCAATCACTATCTTATTTAAGCTAGGATCTCATTTAGGTTCAGTTTTTTTGCGGTCTCCGTTTTAGAAGCCTTCAAAACACAATGTCCTTCAGGGGCCAAGAGAGCTCACCAATCTCTAAGGCCTGCCTTAAAAATAGAAGAATTACTGCTCCTTCTTCCTACTCTGAGTTTGATATGGGTTAAGCATAATTTTTTATTAAATAAATGAATGAGTGGGTAACATTACAAGCCACCAACATCCACATCACTCAGTTATGTGCCAGGTTTTATATTCAGGGGCACACATGGTCCCTTTCTGTTGTACTGAGGCACCTCTGATCCAATCACCTGAGAAGATGCTAGCCCAGCCACACATGCCTAACTGCCACATGCCAGGCTGGCCCCACAATTAACAAGGGCTCTGGAAACCATGTTCCTAGCAGGTTCCCAGCARCCCAGTCTTCAGAGAAGGAAGCGGATCAAATGTATCAACACAAAAAGATCCTTAACATAAACCGTTGAATRAAAACAGCATAGTATATTTGTTTTAAAACCCTATATTTTTCTACATTACATGAATATATGTAAGAGCATTAAAAAAAAGCCTAAAAGGTCTTATACCAAATTGATCACGGTGGCTATCAGGATCAGGCAGGTGGCCCTTCCACTTCGCACGCAATCTCTGCACTGCTTAGTGAAAATGTATTCCTGTAAGAATTCATCTGCATCATCAAAACATAGACACTCTCAAAGGTTAGAGGCTGGCCAGTTTCTGACGAGGGGATCTTTGCAGCCCGCTTCTCAAAATTCTGACTGCATCCATATCACCTGAGGAACAGGTTGAAACTGTGGTGACCAGATCTAGAGGATTCTGTTCACATCTTTCCCAGAATTCTGATAGGAGCCCGTGTGTGTAAAATTSTAGAAAATAAAGCAGACTCACACCCACATAACCTAGGCCCACAGCTCCTAGGAACAAGGAAGCAAAGCTCTTTCCAGATGAAAGTAGAAAAGCTTAGAGAGTGGAGTGCAAGAAAGTGCTAATGCTAAGACAGCGATGACCCAGGACACTGARGACACGTTCTTGCATTTCCTGATGCTTACTCTAACTTCATTCCAGAGCAAGCCCTAGCTCCATGGGGGAGCTGTAGGCACTTCCAGGGGCACCTCTAGAGACATGTAGGCCAGGCCCAGCCTGCTCTGCATCTGCCTGGGAGCAGCACAGCCTCTGAATGAGCCCTGGTCCTACCCACATCTGCAGAGGGTACCAAATCCCCTCCAGGTGGAGGGAGTGCCACCTGGATCTTGCAGTAGAGCCACTGCCCACTAAGTATTCACACTCACAGCTCCCCAGCATGCCTATCACATGGCCTGGCCCCTGACTTGGCTCACTCTCTCTGCAATGCCCCACTCCCTGCAGGGGTCCAAAAACACTTTTTAGCCTCGGGCCTACATGCTAGCCACTCAGTACCCATGTTACCACCTTCCTTCCTTCTTCCTTGTTCTGGGGTGACTCTGTGACTTAATTTACCTACTCAGAGAGTCTGCTTCAAAACAAAGCCTTTTTCCCAAAATAAAGCACAAGATTCCAAAAGCAAGGAGTGGTTTCTAGGCGTGATCCTTTGTGTTTTGAGTGAACAGGGTTCCCATCCCAATGACCTGAACAGTTTCCCTTTCCCCTGTTCTGTTTCAGAATGTCATTTGAAGAAAGGATTCCTCACCTTAAAAAAAAAAAAAAAAAAAAGCAAGCTTTGAAATCTGCATTTGATCCACTACTATCTGAAAAATAAAGAAAACTGAGCTCCTTATCTGGCTCACTGTTCATTTGGTAATTACTCATTATTTATTGTCTAAGTATATGCCAGGCACTATGTTAAGTGCCATAAGGGGACATTATAGTAACACTCAGTTCTTTCCTGAGGACAGTGCTGCCTGGCGGAAGCTCAAGATGAAGCCTGCTCCTCAGCAGGGAGARCAGGTGCCAAGGGCCACGGGGACAGATATGGCATCCAAGGTTTCAGAGAAGATCCTGCAGGCACTATAACAGCCTCCTGAATCTTGGGTTCCTATGCTCTGCCCTCAGCCTGTCCCCACAGCTCTCAGAGTGGTTTCAGGCCATGGTGATGGCTCCAAGGGGACATTCAGGAGACATTTAATGCCTCCACATTTTCCAGGCATTACCAGGATCTGCCCGACGGTGGGCTGTGGCGTGCAGCAGCTCATTTCCCTGCTCTGCTTCTGTATTCAGGTGGGGATTACTGACACGTGTTCCAGGTAAAACCAGGTAGGACAGGCCCGCACCCCGGGAACTCACCAGTGCCTGGGCTCTTGCTGCCCTCTGCACTGGGCAGGCTGTGGCTGCCCACCTCATCTCCCCTCTCCACTGGGGTCACGTGCTCTGGTTTGGTGTCTGTGGGGAGAAGAAGGTAGTGACAGGACTCTCCTCTGTGGGCTGAGAGCAAGACCCACTTGGCTCCCTCTTCAAGAAGTATATGGTGTGGGGCGTTGGGACACTGGATGGAGTGGGATGAGGCCTCCCAGCCAGAAGTGTGAGCAATAAGAACAGGAAGAAAGGCTTCTATTATGTCCCTCTCTCAGTCAGGAGAAGCCCAAGGTCACCTGATCCAGCTACCTCATGTGACACTGTGGGAAACTGAGGTCCAGGATGGGAAGCCAGTTAAACATGGTAGTCAGCTGCTGCCTTTCTTCCACAWGCTCACTCCTGCCCCCTTAGCCAGGCACCATCTCTCACCTAGCATTCCTGCAATACACTGGCACCCTCTTCTAAAAAAGGAAGCTTTGTGCTAGGAAAGAGAAGCAAAGCATTCTTTCCTGGGTTTCAACCTCCCAAGAGGCAAGAGGGGACAAATAGCCAACTCTTCACTTGCCCAAAGCAATGAGAGAATTCAGGTGTATAAGCAGGGTGGCAGGGGAGTAGGGGAGCCACAACCATCTAGGCCTAACCAAGTCTCACCCAGGCCCTTATGCACACCAGCCTGGAGGACTCAAGGGTTAGGACTGGCCCTCATTTTCTGGACCCAGAACACCTTTTAAAGAATGCCGACAATTAATTCTGCATTCAGCAGGAGCTTTCTAAGAAYTCCAGAGTTCAGAGCATAGTTCAGGGAGTCCTAGGGGAATAAACATAATTAGGGAGGTCATAGTTCACTCCCCAGAAGTGAATTATGCCTGTAAGAGCAGCCTCTGAATCACATGAAGGGCTGGACAGTGAGGAGCAGATGCCAGTCCCTATTTTTCCTCCCTGAGGTCTTGGAAAAACCATTCAACCTTGCTGTGTTTCACTGCATAAGACCCAAAAACGGGAAGGAAGGACACTACCTACCTGCGAAGGCAGAGGATGATCCCACCCTGGCCCCTCACCTGGAGAGCCCAGAGTCTTGCAGCTTTCCTTTGCCACTTGCTTGCAGAGCACCTTCTTCCGCTCTTGTAAGCTACCATTCTGCTGCTCTGAGAAACACATGGCCACCTCTTCAATTGTCATGGGCACCTGGAAGTACAAGTCCCCCAGGCCCACAGTGAGTTACCACCACTTCAGGGAACAGCTACAACCAGCTGTAGTTTCCTCTCCCTTCTCCCCAACCAGAGGGCACAGCTGGTCAAACCACTGGGCAAATGCCAGCTCCTCTCCATCATATTTGCTTTGGACAATGGGCAGAACCRGTGGCTAAGGGACTCGGAGTCAGGGCTCTTAGGGTCTACTCCTCTTTTCTTTTCCTTTTTTGTTGGCTTGGTAGTTTTTTTTTTTTAATATATAATATATATTCTCAGAAGCAGGTTTTTTTAATCAATCTAATTATTTTTTATTTATATGACAGCAGAATGCATTACGATTCTTATTATACATATAAAGCAAAACTTTTCATATGTCTGGTTGTTCAACTCCTCTTTTCTAGGCACAAATGTATCTTATTCCATGTGGCTTTCATGGAAGGACTTTCGGTGACTTCCCCTACTCGGGCCAGTCTTACTCTCAGAGGTCATTCTAGGATAAGACAAGTCTGGGGCTGGGGATGTGGCTCAAGCGGTAGCGCGYTCGCCTGGCRTGCGTGCGGCCCGGGTTCGATCCTCAGCACCACATACCAACAAAGATGTTGTGTCCGCCGAGAACTAAGAAAAAATAAATAAATATTAAAATTCTCTCTCTCTGTCCCTTTCACTCTCTCTTTAAAAAAAAAAAAAAAAAGACAAGTCTGTCTGTCTTTATTGGGGACAAGAGTTTGAACCCACGGGTGTTTAACCATTGAGCCACATCCCCAAACCCCCCCACCTTTTTAAAATCTTTTTTTGGTTGTTGATGGACTTTTATTTTATTCATTTATTTATATGCAGTGCTGAGAATCAAATCCAGTGCCTCACACATGCTAGGCAAGTGTTCTACCAYGGCAYGGTTCTACCACAACCACAGCACCCCCGATCCAGCCTTTATTTCATATATAATTTTGAGATAGATAGGGCCTCACTAAATTGCTCAGGGCTCAGTTAAGTTGCTGAGGCTGGCTTTGCACTTACTGTCCTCCTGCCAGAGCCTTCCAAGTCATTGGGATTGCAGGGGTGCACCACCACACCCAGCTAAGACATACAACTCTTACTGTACAACAAAATCCCTCCTAATAAACCCATTCCATCTGCCAACTTAGACATCTTGTTGGTGTCACAATTTCCTTCTGATGTTTTTAAGACCCTTAAAGTCCATGGTTGACTAGCATTAGGTGCCAAGAAATCAGGCTTCAGCAGTCAAGGGGCCCCTCTGCGCTTTGCCTGTGAGGACCCTACTGACTCAGTTCCTGTACCTTGGGTACCTCCCCCTTGCTGCCAGGGGGCAGCTGCAGGATCCAAGAGCTCCCATTGCGCAGCAGGTTCTCCAGGTTCTCCAGCCGCCGCTGTAGCAGCCCGTACTCCTGCAGCAGGGTCCCCAGGATGGCCCACTTGCCCTCTAGTTGGTTGCTGAACTCCACAGTTGTCTTCTCATAGTCAGCCAGCTTCTTCTCAGCTATCCCTGTTCTCACTTCCAGGCCTTGAAGCTGGACAGCCTGAGATTCTATCTTCTTCTCCACAGCCTGAACAGCAGCCAGGATGGCCAGAAGGGAGATCTCTGCAGACTGAATCTGGGCCTCTCGCTGGAGGTTACTCCCCAGGTGCCAATCCTACAACCAGACACAAGAATGTGAGCCAGGTGCCAAAAGAGGAATCAATGCCATTCCCAGATACAAGAAATTTAAGGTCCTCTGGAATGGGGGAAACTTCTCCCAGGTGCCAGAAGCCCTTTCTGGTTAGACCACCAAACAGACCCAACCTGACAAATGGTCAAGTCAGCAGACATTCGTATCCACAGAGCCTTTGTGTGAAGAATCTTGAACCATAACTAGGAGCAATGGAAAATGAAATAGCAAGCTATATCATCACAAACAGAGTACAATGGATTCCAATACTAGTCCTTCTATGGAGTTTTATTAGTTTAGCCAATTACTTAATTACTTTTTTTTTTGGTACTGGGAATTGAACCCAGAGGGGCTTAACCACCGAGCCACATCCCAACCCCTTTTTATATTATTATTTAGGGGGCTGAAATCACTGCCTCACCTGCTCCTCAAGTACACGACACCCTCACCTCCCATTACTATGCTCAGAGGTCAGGAAAGACTGTTGTTCTGACTTTGATAATCCTGAAGGCTAACTGCCGGTGTGTGATTTCCTACCCTACCTAGGAAACTGGGTGCTTGTAGCCCAGGCACCTGGTAGACCAGACCAGCCCTCAAGGTAATTGTTACCACACTGGGATGCCATACCCAGCTGCCAGGGATCAGGGACCAGAAAAAGACAAATGATAGCACCTTAGAGTACTCAGAATAAGGAAATAGTAAAAAAAAATAACCTGCCCACAGAAGGTGAACACTATATCATGCATTATTAGAAATAACAAAATAAAAAGCCCAGGAATGCCTTAGTGGGGGTAGGGGGCAGCTAAGGTATAATGGCAGCACTCCTGGAATGGAGCTCTACTAGACCTTGAACCAACTTCTAACCTGTCATTGGAATCATGCACAACTGGAGGTGAATCCCTTCTCTAGGGTTCTATTTTCTCACTTGTAGGGACACCACAGCTCTGCTACCTCCTAAGGGGATGGTGTGGATGGAATGCACTAGAGTTATGGAAAAGCACTCAGGATGTATAACAACATATAGCATACTATTAAAAACAGGTCATGGACCAAGTCCTCTTCCCAAACACAACTCAGTAAAGTGTCCCACACGTTCAAACTACTAGTCACCAGGCATTTGTCCCTTCCTTCCACCTTTTACAGCACAAGGGGCCATCCCTTAGTCTGGCCCCTGACCCATACAATACAGTGTAGCCAGGAGAAGGCAAATCGTCTTCACAGATTTGGGGCAAACATCCTTATCTCTCTAGAGTGCCCGGCCACAAATTTGACATTCAGGAATGTCAATAAAATTTCTGCAAAGCTATTGCTACCAGGAGATGTCCTCTATCTTCTGAGACACAAAAAAAAACACAACAGTTTAGTCACACCAGTCACGGAGGGCCTAGGTCAAACCTGAGCCTAAAACACTAACCATGCATAATGCATGCATAATGCAAATCTGTTCCCAGTAACTGTATTAGGGACTTCCCAGGGAATCTTGGAAAACAAGGGCAAGCTCCAGCAGGAATCATCCTGACTGGAGCTCAGGTCTGGAAGACCTTCATGGTACTCTCCAGGTAGGGATAAGATTGGCTCCCAGGAGGATGTGAGGGCCTGATGAGACAAATATACCCTCCCCAGACGGTGGCACTAGACCTGGTGAAGCCAGATTTACAGATAGGTAGTTAGTGTAGTTWGGTAAATMGGGTCTAATATCCAATAAGATAAAGAAACTGGAGACCATTACCAGAATGGAATCCAGGAAAGCAGAGCAGCACTAGGGGAAATTGAAATATTAATGTCCCCAAGGCCTGGAACCCCATCCTAAAGAATTGTTAATGAAGCATCTCCCAGCAAACAGAGGTACTAATCAAAAACCACCCCAGGCCCTTCCAGCCTAGATTACTCCTTCAGCCCACCAAATCTTCCACCTGCATTCTATCACTGTAAGAAAAAGGGAAACAAAAGACATGAATGTGGGAAGACAGACTAAAAGAAGACGTTCGCTATCAAAAGGGAAGACCTCCCCCCACTTCCACGGATTCCGCCTTTCGGGTCCCCTTCTTCCTCCGGGGAGAAGTCTTTTCTGCTGTCCTTTAGTAAAGCCTTCTGCTTTCCACTCCCCACTTTCCTCCGCGGGCTTCTCTGGTGTTATACTTCAGCACTGGGGAAGCAAGGACTTGTCACCAGTAAACAGCRGTAACACTAGCTTGGAAAAAGATTAGATAATGGGGTGGAAAGTCCCTCAGAGATGGTCAATCGTGGTGGGGGTGGGGGGCTGGTCCCTAACGGACACGTCCAGGAAAAGAAGCCTTGGAGAGCCTTGGGAGTGAGGACACCCACATTCCCTCCCCCCACACCTGGTCCCACTGAGCCAGCGCACGGACCTCAGGCATCTCGTGGTTAAATCCGAGTGCTCTATTCTTTACACGAGGAAACTGGGGCCAAGTAGAAGGGACTTTATCGTGTGGCCCTACGCATCCTTCCCACTACGGAAGGTGGCAGGGCCGGTAGTACATCCTGACGAATTCAGGACTCGGCTCCAACCCCCACATCCACCTTAGGGGCGTCCTTACCGGAGCCGCCTGGGCCATGGTCCTGCGCTGTGTAGTCAGGCTCGGAAGTCACTGTCGCCCGCTGCGCGTGGCCCCACACAGGCCAGCCCGCCCGGTCCTCTCAGCTGGCGCGCGAGCTGGGCCCTGCCTTCGCCACACAGACCCGGCACCGCGGAGCCACAAATGTTCCTAAACGCAAGGTAGAAAGCCAGGTCCGAGCAAGAGCGCCGCTCTCCAGGCACCSGGCCGTAGAGCCACAAGCTGGGTCCCGCCCCCACGCAGAGCTRGCTCCCCATTGGCCGACCTGGGAGGCTCCACCCCCAGCCTGCGTGCGTAAGGCCCCTGCGGCCTGGAGTCTGCGCCTCATTGGCTGGCCGGGAAGCTCGTCCCGCAGCGTGAGCCCCGGCCTTGCGCGCGAGGGCAGGTGTGAGTGTGAGGTGCAGGGGCTGCCTTTACCMGGGCCAGGCAACCCACGAGCGTCGCCAGCTGTGACTGGCCAGTGCGGCCGCTCACTTCCTACAAAAAAGAAACCAGGTCACGTGCACAATCATTTATGCCAACATGTTTATTAAGCACCGATTAAAGCAGAAGACTGCCACCTTCACAGTTGTTAAGGAATCTTAAGACCCAACCACTTCTTTGTTTCACAAATGAGGACGCTGAGGCCCAGAGCTGGGGAAGTCTGGGACCCAACCAGGGCTCCCACCTTCCGATTGTGGGRCACCACTGGGCTACTGCACCTTGTAGCCTCCACTGTTCATTTCAACCTAAGGAGCACTCTTTAAACACGTCCTATTGAGTGCCAGGGCAAACCCAATATGCATAGCCCAGAGCTGAGTACTGAATGCTTTGAAAATAAGAAAAGGGAAAAACACCTGAGCCTTGCAATTGAATGCTTGTATTTACAGAGTGCATTTAGCATTTAAAATTTTAGAATTTAAAATTCTGAGCCCTGAGGCACCACCAGAATATCTGAGCCTAGCTCTTGTAGCTGAGGGTTAAGCTGAGCAGCCACACTTGTACCACATCCTGCCTGCCCACGTGCTGATATTTGTCTCTGACTTGTGGGGCTCCAGACAAGCAGGAGCCTCAAGCAGGAGGTGCCTCTTTAGGATCTTGGCTAACCTGTCAGACTTTTATCCTTCCCCTTTCCCAGGGATGATGGCAATGTTACCATCTGCCCCCAACTCCATTCGGGACTGTGGAAAAGGGGTGAGGACAACAGGAAGTTGCCAGGGACCCAGAACCCACAGCCAGCTGGTCTGTAGGCAGCACCCAAGGTGGTGTGATTAAGGAATATAAGAAACTAGGCATCAAGACTTCTCCTTGCAGCCTGACAATAGCATACTATTAAAAACAGGTCATGGACCGATGCTTTGGTACAAGGGCACTAACCCTCACTCTTCCCAGGGGATTCTGACTGAGCAGGAAATCACTGGAAAAAAAAAAATAGGAAACACTGAACTTGAAACTAAGAATATCACCAAGCGTCTTATTTGTGCAGTCTCTAAATTCAGTGCCAACAACTCCTAGATGAGGTGGGATGCACTGGAGCTGTTACCCTTTGACAGACAAGGAATGTGAGCCTAGAGGGGGGCTGAAGGATTCCCCAATCTCCTAGCCCTACTTAGCACCAGACCCCAAATTCTTTACCAGGAGAAACGAGGCCTGGAGAGTCCAGGCAGACTCCCCAGCCTCCCCCAGTCAGTCTTCCCCTTGAGGAAGGTCTTGGGCTCACAAGACTGCAGCACCCTCAAGACATCTTCTGGGTCCAGTCAATGGATCATGCACACCTATGAATCCTGAGATCTGGCAAGGGAGGCCATCCACACCTGATTTCCTTTCCTCTTTTAACTGATATCAAAAGTAAATAACAGATGAGACTGCCCTGTGAGGGAAGGACTAGGAAGACTGGGAGTCACTCAGAGCTCAGAAACATACAGCTGGGGAGAAGCTGTGCTTCTAAGACAGCAGCCAAATTCTGCCCATCAAAACCCTCTTCCTGCCCTGCCAGACCCACAAAGGAAGTGACAGAATTCCTGCCCTCAGGAGCTCCTGGTCCTCTTTGCAACTACACACAACGCTTACAAACACATTACAAAGTCTTCATTCAAAGAAAAAAAAAAGTCTCAAGCTAACAAAAGTAGAAAATGCAAATTCCGAGTGCCTTCTCTTGTGTCCTGTTCTCTCTGCTGTTTTCTCATGTGGAGCGCAGACAGACCTCTGTGCAGTCACTCCCAGTCCCTGAAGTCTCTATGGTCCATTCTGAAAGGACCACAGTCTCTGATCATCTTGACTGTAGCACCAGTCAAAAGCTACACCAAAAACTGGTGTTGTTTAAGCCTTTAGGGACCCTTTACAGGTCAAAAATGTAGAAAAAGATAGCACAGAGTGACACTCTTAGGAAAGAGAAAATAGAGGTACCTTGTCGCATATATATGATATCATCAAAAGGGCCACTGCTTTCCATTTGAATAGGGGAAACAATAAAAAAAAAAAAAACAAAAAAACCTCTCTCCAAGACATCCCAGAATAAGGGACCAGCATCAGGCACAAGGGAAAGCCCTAAGAGATAGAGCACAGGTCCTGCCAGGGATGCAGGAAGACAAGAGGATGCCCTGCAGGCTCCTGCCTGGTCAGCCCTCCTCTGCATGGCTGCGACCCTGCAGGGGTGAGCTCCCCTGGCCTGCAGAGGGCACAGGGAAATGCAGGCCCACCCGATGCCGGGCATGAGTCTGCATATGCACAGCCAGGTGGTGGTTTCGGTTGAAGGCCCGGCCACACTGGGGGCACTGGTAGGGTCGCTCACCAGTGTGGATACGCTGGTGACGCAAGAGGTCCGAGGGCCGGCGGAAGGCCTTGCCACAGTAGGGACAGGCAGGCCAGCCCTGATTGTTGCCTGTGTGCAGGCGCTGGTGAAGCAGCAGGCTCTTCCGCTGCTGGAAAAAGCGCAGGCATTCACTGCAGTGGTAAATCTTGGTGGCCGTGGGCCTCCGCCCCATGAAGGCACGCCCTCCCAGGGAATGGTGGCCCGCCGGCTCCTCGGGGAGCCAGCGGATGACAGGGCCAGGCACTACCACTTCCCCTGGCTCCAGCGTAGAGTGGCCTTCCCCCCATCTGGTGGGTGAGCCCCCRGGAGCTTCCCTGTGCTCCTCCTCCACGTGAGTCCTTTGATGGATTGTCAAATTAATCTTCAAGCGGAAGCTCTGCCCACAGTCAGGGCAGGGGAAGGTCCGTTCCCGCCGGCGAGGGAGTACGCGGGGTGCTTCCCCAATGGTCCCTGGTGGCCGAGGCTCCCCAGTGCGCACCCTTGGCCTCCCCTGGGCGTGATGCCGCCTGGGGCCTCCAGTCCTGTTCCTAGGCCCTCTAGGTGTTCTACACTTGGTCCGGCTTGGGGACCCCAGGCGGAGCTGCTCAGGCACCATCTCCTCCTCAGACTGAGCTTCTGTCTTGATGGCCATGCCACCACCACCTGGCAAAGGAATCTATGTTGGTTCCAAGTCCTACTCCCACCTCCCCTGAATCCTTTCTCCTCCAAGGGCCCACAAGGAGGTCCTGCTCATGGGGCCTCACCAAGCAGGCACTGCCCTGTCCCGTCATTCAGTCCTGTTTGCTATCTTACTCCTCACTCCTGGAGGCTGAGCTGGGGAACCAGGAGAGAGGAAAGTAAACCACAAAAAAAACAGCTGCCAGATAGTCCCTGGGGTCAGAAGACAGATGGTAGGAGATAGGTAGGTGGGAAGGTGGAAGAGAGATCCTGGGCCATGGCAGAGGAGTCGGCAGGACCCTAAGAGTTCTGAAGTCAGTAGTTATGATCTGAAAAGCACAAGGAACTTGTGGGCCCCATTACCTYAGGACCAGGTGAGAGACCCCAGCAGCCTGGAGGAGGCCAGTGAATTAACCTCACACAATCCCTCATCCATATAACAAATGGGCCAATCCCTACTACCTGCCCACACCCTGCTTTCTGGGTGCAGAGAGCACCCTGTAAGGCAGCCTATGATTCCTGCCTGGGTCTCAGTGCAGGTATCCCCCGACTCAAGCAGGACTGAGTGAGGCCAGAGCCACCAGGATAACAGCAAAAAGCGTACTCTCGGGCTGGGGCTGGGGCTGAGTGGCAAAGCGCTTGCCTAGCATGTGTGAGGCACTGGATTTGATTCTCAGYATCACATATCTATAAATAAAATAAAGGCTGAAAGCCGGGGTCACTCCACAGGGTTGCTGCRAGGCTGGAATCAAAGCGGAACATCCTTTTGGTCACCCTTGACCACAGCCTGGTAGCCTTCAGTCTATTCCCAGCGGGGGATTCCCAGCCAGCCCAGACCAAGAGAGAAGACTAGGACCACAGGCTGACTGGGCCTGTGGGTCACACCTGGGGAGGGAAGGAGGAGGGAAGCCTCAGGACGAAGTCCTTCACCAGGTCTCATCCCCAGACCCCTGCTACTCCCAAAGGGCCCTCTGAGCTGTGTGAGGCTCTGCCGTGGTGACGGGCGCTGCCTATTTACTCACCTGGCCCCAGACTGGACATGATGTCCCTGGAAGGGGAAGCTGGTGACTCCCCCTCTGAAGATTCTCTCTCCTGTTTAATTGAGGACAAAATGCTGGTGTTTGCTGGAGGTCCTGCAAGACAGAGAATCCCATGGGGCCTTTCCTGACATGGGGTTCTTGCAGAGTGGCATGACCACCTCTTCAGCAGGCTCTGGCCATACCCAAGGGCCTGCCAGGAACAGTGACCCCCAGGCCTCAGTCCAGTTGACTGCAGAGGTAAGAAGAGAGATATGAAGGCCACAACCATAATCCCCCGCAAACTCAGGCTCACAATTTGTCCCTTTGCAACTGACTATCACGCTGATGGTCCTCAAAAGGAAAGAGGGTTTGGGGAGGCCTCAGAGCAGAGTCTCAGGTCTGCGATGGGCAGGGATACTGTCCTCCTCTATCTGAGAAGGTCCCACCTGACCGATTCCATGAGCTGAGTCCAAACTTATACAGTGGCCAGGAAGGAGCACACAGGAAGGAAGCAATTTCACTTCTACCTGCAGAGGGCCACATTCAGTGGGGGAAATACAAAGAAACCACAGGGGAGAAGGCAACACACTGAAGCTGGGCCAGCTGCAAGAAGGAAGAATAGGGAGGAGGAGCCAGAGGAGCCCGTGTGCGCTGAGACAGAAAGCCACATGCTCTGCTCAGTGTCCTCTGAGTTACAGTTCCAGCTCAGGATGGCAGGAACTGCCTGTGAACAGAAGCAAACAGAACTTGGGAGAGGTGACTAAAGCCAGTGTTCTCAGCAGGTCTTCAGAAAGAGGATGTTTACTGACACCTACAACATGCCTGCCACCCAGCACTGTGCTAGGCATGAGACATAAACTGCCTTGTTGATAGGACCACTGGAAGAAGCCCCAAGAGGCTCAATCCACATCCCTCCCCAAAAGCTCCATACAGATATTTTCTTGCACTGAAAATCCAAAACCTACCTTCTTTTAGGGTCTACCTCAGGAGCCCCTTTCCCAGGAGCCCGTCCAGCTCAGCCCAGTCACATCCCCAGCTATCTTTCCTGCTGAACTTCTAGCACAGCTTGTGTTTGGTACTCATGCACTGCCAAAAGACACCATTCTTGTTGCTGTCCTGGCTGCCCTCACTCACCAGTGCCCGGCTTGGGTGGGGTCACTCCTGCTTCTTCGTTCTGTTGGTGTTGAGGGGCCTGCCCTTCTTTGGGCTCCTCCTGGGCATGGCTGACTGGACTGGGGACTTGCTCTGGATATGGAAGGAGACCTAAGGAATGCAAACCAGTGACACTGAGCACAACACGGAGATCTCCCAAACAGATGGCCAGGGACCCTCTGGGAAGTGTGTAAATGCAGAGTCCCAGGGACCTGGGACATCAGACCAAACACTGAGTGTGATGATGAGATGGCTTCACCTGTCACCCAGCCGCTAGATTCTCCTCTAGAGCCTCATTCCAGGAGGACTGCATAGTGTGATAATTGACACAGGATTGGCAACCAGGACATGACAGAGGGCTGCTGTTTAGGGTAGGGAGAGGAAACACAGTATTGTCTGTTCCACCAGCCATGATGGTGGCTGCTGGCCCCCACCCCAGCCCGCTCTCCACAGCATCAGAGAGCCCAAAGGCATGGCAGAAAATATACACTGCACATGTGGTCCTGAAGGTTCCCGAGTTTCCAAAGTGAAGTATTCCCTTTTGAGACAATGCTTCACCCTACACTTGTCCTCTTATTCAAGTCTACACAAAATGTCTGTCGAGGCTTGCCTCCCAGCAAGTCACAACAGCTCAGCCGTCACTGAAGTTGTCAAATCATAAGCCCCCAAATGAGCACATGTCACATGTGCCCCTCCCACAAGAAATGGAGCTCTGCTTTTTTTTTTTTTTTTTTTTTTAAGGAAAATACCTATGAAGAGAATGAAATGCATGATGAGTGAAAGGCTGACGGTGAAGGCTGATGAATCTACCATCCAACACAAGTTCAGCCAGAGGCCTACGGCACCAGGCAGTGCGTGCTGCGTGCCGTGAGCAATCAGACAGCACAGATGTGCACAGGCAATCCAGAACCACGGGAAAGAGGCTCCACCTCCACACCGGAACCCACAGTGGCTGTTCCGGAATTGCAGGATCCAGAGAACAAAGATTCATCAGAGACAAAAGCAACCCAAGCAGGGCCTGTCTGCTTGCCCTCCAATGGCATTCTTTTCAAAGGCAAATGGTTAACACCAACTGAGTGTAATCAGAGGGGAAAAAGAAGAATTCAGCTGGATTTGTAACTGGTAATGCTGCTACCAATTCCCCTCTTGAATAAGGGCACGACCTTGGATACCAATTGGTCACATTGTTCAGCAGACTTTATCTACAGAATAGTCATCAGCTYCCATAGAAAGCGTCGGCAGCGATCCTAAAAACGTCAGTGGGTCATCCGAAACCTCATCTTTGGACCCTTCCTAGAACAAAGAGAAACCCAGTGCCCATCCTCGTAAACCAGCCAAAGCATCACGGACGTGAGGCTGTGCAAGATCAAGCCTCAAGAGTGAGAAAAAGAAAGGTCCAAATCAAAATATGAAATCCTGACAGTTCTCAAGAACCCCCAAGGATAGAAAGTGACTTAATGACAGTGGAAAGGAGAGCTAAATCCTGGTGTAGTCAGATTTGGGGATGCAGAGTGAACAAGAGAACAGCACTAAGCCGGGCGCAGTGGCACACACCTGCAATCCCAGCGGCTCAGGAGGCTGAGGCAGGAGGATGGCAAGTTCAAACCCAGCCTCAGCAAAAGCAAGGCCCTAAGCAACTCAGTGAGACCCAGTCTCTATAAATAAAATACAAAGCAGGGCTGGGGATGTAGCTCAGTGGTCGAGTGCCCCTGAGCTCAATCCCTGGTACCAAAAAAAAAAAAAAAAAAAAAGAACAGCACCCTCAGAGCCAGAGCAGTGCCGCACACTAGTGGTGCTCTAAGCAGAGGGGTGCCCAAGATGCACTCTGGTTATCAGAAGACCCATGTGTACCCTGGTCATCAGACCCCTCCCCCACATTCCACTAAGTGAGGGAAGCAAAGAGAGGCCCCAAGCCAGGTGGAGAGGCTATTATTTTGAAAGCACAGCAGGAGAGAGAGCTGTATCCTCTTCAAGATAACCTGGATTTTGCCAGTGACACTTCTGTCCCTGGTGCAGGCAGATCCTCAGCTCCTTAGGGACAGAAAAAACAGACCCAGAGAAGGATAAAAATGATGTGCCTAGAGTTAAGTTTGGCAATGTACAAATCTTTTCTTTCTTTTTTAAATGGAAATGTTCTGAGCATGGAGACCCATATTAGAGGGCAAGAGGACACAAGTTTACTTTAATAATTTCCCTATAAGAGGGCTTATTTATTTTGCAAACAAAAGCCTAAACATTAATAGAAATACTGGATACATTATTTTGAAATTATAGATACTATAGAATAACTAAATGTTGGGATCGGATATAAAAAGACTCAAATTTAAGTTATTATGCTAATAAAGGTGGGAATGTAACATTACAATGTAAAATTTTAAAAAAGTGATATACAAGTTTATAAAATCAAAATTAAATCTGAATCAGGAATGTCTATATGAACTCATTTCTTTTCAAAAATGCAYATTTTTGCCAGGCATGGTGGCACCCACCTGTAATCCCAGCAGCTCAGGAGGCTGAGGCAGGAGGATCAAGAGTTCAAAGCTAGCCTCAGCAAAAGCAAGGTACTAAGCAATTCAGTGAGACCCCGTCTCTAAATAAAATACAAAATAGGACTGGGGATGTAGCTCAGTGGTCAAGTGTCCCTGAGTTCAATCCCTAGTACCCCACCCCCAAATGCATATTTTCAGGGCTTCCAGATAGCTAACACATGCAGGTCCCAGGATGGTGGCACAACAGAGAGGGTGTCAAAGCCCTGTGCCCTTCCCCCAGGTTTCACCCTTTGTCTCTCTTCACCTGTATCCTTTATAATAAACCAGTAAGCAGGCAGCACATAGTCAGTGAATAAGGCAAAGTTCCAGCCCTCATGGAGACAGCAAATCAACTAGGTCTATCTAACATTCCAAGAGAAAAACATAAGACAAGAACAAAAACAGCCACACAAATGGTTAACAGGGATATAAACAGAAAAAAACACCCAGAAGTAACACCTAAAATTTATAACTAGCACTCATCTAGGGTCTCTAAATACTATGCTTCACTAAAAACAATAAAAACTTCTTGACGAGGGGCTGGGGTGGACATCAGTGGCAGAGCACTTGCACAGCACGTGGAGGCCCTGGGTTTCTTCCCCAGACAAAACAGAAAATCCACGGAGAAACTGATTCCAGGCCCAGGGCAGGAAATACACAAAAYAAATCTCATGTATCTTAAGGTGTCAGAAACTCATCAAGGTCATGTTAAAATGACCTCTGGGCAAAACTTGAAAACGATTCCACTTGCCAAAGATGGTACAATTTAAATATGAAAATAATGGCTACAAAGGACTGGCACAAACAAAATATTTTAAAATCTGAGAAGTCATAATACTTGAAAACAACACAAAACAAAAAGCCCAAGCCTTTGGCCGCCTTTGGAGGCTACAAGGACAGAAAAGTCATCATTCAAAAAACTGATGTAGGAAAGAGTGAAGCATCTATCCTGCCTCTTCTGTACTGTAGTTCAGGGTAACTAAAAGGATTGATTAGAGGAACTATTCATCACAAAAGAGCTTTAGCTTTTAAGAACAGAAGTAATGACACTTTCACTATTTTGCTACCCTTAATGAAATAATGAAGCCAGGCAGCAATTTCCATGGCTAATTAAAGTCACTGGTGAAAACCTGACAGGAACTTCATAACAGAAGCATGACGCCGACAATCTCAATAAAAAAGACAACCAGACCCCAGCGCCTGCTGGCCCACAGGAGTAAGGGGCACACAGCAACACCTCTGAAGAAGTCTTCTCAAAAACACTGAACCTGAGTCTACATAAACTGCTAATCCACCTCCCAATCCATAGGAAATGCAGGAAATAAGAGACCATGTTAATGACACCAAATCCAAAATGTGGGAAACAATAGCATTAAAAAGATGTAAAATACGCCAGACACRGTGGTGCACACCTGTAATCCCAGCTGCTTGGGAGGGTTAGGCAAGAGGATAGTAAGTTTGAGGCCTGTGAGACCCTGTCTCAAAATTAAAACTTTTTAAAAGGGCTTGGGGTGTAACTCAGTGTAGAGAACTTGCCTAGTATATGCAAAGTCCTGGGATCTATCCACTGTAACACACACACACACACACACACACACACACAGAGATAAATGACAATAAAATGACAAAAAATAAATGGCTTGGGTAGTGTCTATCAGCTAATGAATGATTAAACAAAGTGTGGTATGTCCACAAAATGGAATATTATTCAGTCACAAGAGAAATGAAGCACTCACACAGACTACAACATGGATGAACTTTGAAAACATGCTCGGTGAAAGAAGACAGACACAAAGGATCATATTATATGATTACATTTATGTGACATATCAGAATAGGCAAATTCCAGAGGCAGAAGGCAGGCTAGTGGCTGAGAGGACCTGGGCAGGAGAGAGGGCAGCAGGGAGTGACTACTAATGGATAYAGGTCTCTCTTTTTTTTTCAGATGTTGATGGACATTTATTTTATTCACTTATTTATATGCAGTCCTGAGAATCGAACCCAGTGCCTCACACATGCTAGGCAAGTGCTCTACTACTACGGAGCCACAACTCCAGCCCCAAGGGTCTCTTTTGATCGGACACAAAAGTTCTAAAGTTAGATTGTGGTGATGATTGCACATCTCTTAATATACCAAGAACCACTGAATTGTACGCTTTAATAGAGAAATTCTATGGTGTATAATTATATCTCAATGAAGCTGTTGAAAAGGGGGATGACTTTTTATAGATTTAAGAAACAGGCTGGGGATGTAGCTCAGTGGTAGAGCACTAGACTGCCATGCAAGAGGCCCTGGGTTTGATCTCCAGCACCAAGAAAAAATAAAGAGTCACTTATAAATCAAATGCAATGCATGGACTTTGGATTATGAGATTAGGATCCAAACCCYACTGAAAACATTGTTGAGGGAAAGAGAACAAGGACCAATCATTAATTGTTGTTTTTGGTTTTGTTTTTGTTTTTTTAGGGGAAGGAGTATAAAAATGGTATCATGGCTGTGTGTACAAAAAGGAAAGAGACAGATGAAGCAAATGTTGAAGAAACAAGATCATGTTAGGTCCCAGCAATAATTTGGAGGTTTACTGTCTTGTTCTCTCTGCTTTCATTTATTTGTTTTTTAAATTCAAAAATGTTCCCCAGAGCTGGGGACATGACTCAGTGGTACAGTGCTTGTCTGGCATGCACCAGGCCCCAGGTTCAATAACCAGCACTGCAAAAAAGAAAAGAAAAGAAAAAAAAGAGTCCCCCAGAGGATTCTGATAGGCAGTGTCACCTTTGGAGACTGTCTATAGGAGGACCCAGCCCCAGCCTCCTTCTCACAAAGGAACCCTAGTGCCACAGCAGCTTCCTGATGCAGGCTAAGCTGGGGAGCAGAAACGGGCAGGTGGACACGGACAGCACTGAAGACATCAAGAAGTGATGGCGATGTCACTGCACTGTCACATCAGTGATAATYAGCCCTATTTATCATGGAACAAGAACGTTCCCATGCTCTACATTTCCCTTTGTGACTACCCCTCCTACAGATCCGAAACCACAGGACTTTAAAAAGAAGTCTTCCACCTGCCCCCACCTGGGGTGGCCTTGGAGAGCAGCCCACTCTGGGATAAGGGTCTGTGCTCCCTTCCCAGTTCTCAGATTATCTGGACACCTAGGAGGTGAGCCTGTGGTCCACTATGCCCCAGTCACTCCCTCTTGTACCCACTTACCAGTGTCCAGCCTCCTTGGACATGCGGCCTCTTCCTCAGTCCCCTTCTCCTTGCTTTGCTGGTCTTCAGGACAAGGCTCCTCTCCTCTCTCTATCCGGGTGAGGATGTCAGGTTTGGAGATGGCATAATCTGCATACAGAACAGGGACAGGATGGGTAAAGATCTGGGACCCATATACCCATGGAGAGGCTCTGATGTCCAAAGTAAAAGAAGCAAAGCAAAGACAGACTGCAAGAGCCCAACCTCGGACAAAGGCCCAGAGACCCCTACACATCCTTACCCAGGGAGACCAGTGTCTCATAGTTGCCCCTCATCACATGCTTGTAGAGCTCCTTCTGCCAGTCCTCCAGCTTGCCCCACTCAGGCTGGGAGAAGTAAACGGCCACATCATCAAAGGTCACGGGCACCTGGAACCACAAGTGTCACACTCGCTCACCCACACACTTACAGGCACAGCCCCAAGGGCTCCCAACTCCAGGGYACCCAAAGGCTACCTTGGGGACCTCCCCCTTGCTGCCAGGGGGCAGCCGAAGGATCCAGAAGTTCCTGTTGCGCAGCAGGTTCTCCACRTTCTCCAGCCGCCGCTGYAGCAGCCCGTACTCCTGCAGCAGGGTCCCCAGCACGGCCCACTTGCCCTCCAACTGGTTGCCAAACTCCACGGCCGTCTTCTCACAATCAGCCAGCTTCTTCTCTGCTGTCCCAGTGCGTCCCTCCAGAGTCAGCACGCGGGCCAGGCAGGAATCCACCTTCTTCTCCAAGGCCTGAATGGCAGCCACCACTGTCCACAGCGTGATCTCTGTGGAGTAGAGGTATGAGTTCTTCTCAGCAGCTGGCTGGGGCGACGGAGGTGTTAGAGGTCTCTGGTCCTCCATTCGCTTGTCCCCCCCTGGAATCTGCCCAAAATAAGAGAAAAGAGAGATATTACCAAAATTATACAATCAAAATTTCCAACTCCAAACTCAGAATGACTCCTGCTCCAGTGCAGCCCCATCTGGGATCCTGCTGGCCAAAGAGCAGAAAAGTGGAGAAGATGGGAGGCCAGAACATCAAGCAGGAGTCCAGCTCTGGTAACTGGAGATGGTGGCTGCACCAGGGTGTTGGCCGGTGGTAAACGGGAGGAAAAACAGCCAAAGAAGGAAAGCATCGACAATCTTAGGTGACTCCCATTCTCATTCCTGAGAATGAAGGGGCAAGGCTTATCACAGGGAGAAAGAACATGAGCCCTGCAAGGAGCTCCCAAGCCACACCCACACATTGGTTGACGTTAGGCTTGGTTTTTAAAACACCTTCCAAAGAATTCATTTCCACATCTAGAAAATAGAATATCTAGAACAATAGTGTCTACATAATAGTATTTTGAAAAATGATGAGACAATATTTTGTAAAAAACCAGTGTAATGTACTTCACATAACAAATAATGGGGGCTGGGGTTGTGGCTCAGCGGTAGAGTGCTTGCCTAGCATGCACGAGGCCCTGGGTTCAATCCTCAACACCACATAAAAATAAACAAACAAACAAAATAAAGGTATTGTGTTAAAAAAAATAATGTGAGTCCTRTATTGTTGCGGCTAAGACAACAACAGTGATAGCTACAGACTGAATATTTGGGTCTCCCCCAGATTTGCATGTTGAAGCACTAATCTCCAATATGATGGATGGCATTTGAAAGTGCAGCCTTTGGGAGCCACATGGTGGGTGGAATAGGACTGTTGCCCTGAAAGAAGAGACATAAAAGCAATGATATCTTTCTCCACGGTGTAAGACTATGATGAGAAGGCAGCCAACCACAAACCAGGAAGAGTCCCCACCAGGAACCAAATCAGTGGCACTGTGRTCTTGGACTACCAGCCTCCAGAACTGTGAGGAGGAAAATTTCTGCTGTTTAAGCCACCAGTCTATTATACTTTGTTATAGCAGCTGGCTAAGAAGATGATGTTGAYGAGGCCATGCTCTGGCTCAGGGATACTCTAGGACAGTCAATGGCCTTTTTTTCCTCCATCTTGCATTCCATCATTCTTCAGCAGCTTGGAAAAAAAGGCCTGCAGGCCTCAGCTTAGCTGGGAGTATGGTGTGCAAGTCCTCACTGAACATGTACAATGCCCCAATGCTGGTTTGCATTGCTAAAAGCCTTCTGGAAAGACAGGCTGACGTCGTGGCAGTGTGTCCTTGCCCACTTCATGGTTACATCAACAGCTAGTCCCATTTGTTTGACTGCTGAAATTATCTCAAATCCATTCACTTTTCTCTTTGTCCACCACCATTGCCAAGCCCCATCACCTTTCACCTGGGCCACTACAATTCCGCCCACCTGGTTTCCCCACTTCAACCTTCTCCTCCATAATACACTTTCCACAGTGTAGTCAGTAATCTTTTGAAACACAAACTAGACTACTTCAGTCCTTGCTGAAAACTCTTCAGTAGCTCCCCAGCGCACCTAGAAAAAATGTGAACTTCTTAATATCCAGCCAGCCCCTCTGACCTGACATACTCCGTCATTTGCTACACTCCAGCCATATGACCTTCTATGGCTGGGATGCATCCAGCTCTCCTTCACCCTCTCCTGGGCTTTCCCATGCACCTCTCCAGGCCTGAGTCCCTTCACCTTTATAGTTTCCACTTAAACACCATCTCACAGAGCCTTTCCCCAAGTGCTGCACTGACCAAAAGTCCCTGTTAGCCTCTTCCTTCACAGTGCTAATAATCTAAACTCACCACCAGACTTATGGTTTTTCTCCCAGGTGAACATAAGTCCCATGAGGGTGTGTGTCATTTACCACTGTGCTCCCAGCTTCATAAAGTGCCTCACCCACAGAAGATGTTTGATAACTATTTATTAAATAAATTAATTAATAATTAATGCATTCAGTAATAATGAGTGAACACCTAACACAGTAAAGGCAGGGTGCACAAAAAATTGATGTTTCTTCCTTCTCCAAGAGAAAAATTCTGTAGAGAAATGCAGTTGACTCTCTGTATCTGCAGGTTCCACATCCAAAGATTCTACAAACCTGAGTAAAAACATTTGGAAAGAAAAAATTGGGTCTGAACTGAATATGTACATTCAGTCATTATTCCCTAAACAAAAGAGCATAACACCTATATACACAGCATTCCCCTTGTATTAGGAATTATAGGCAATCTAGAGGTGATGTAGAGGATTGCTGTAGGTAATATGCAAATATTATTTCATTTCCTGGCTACCAAGATTTGAGACCTAACAATGTGACAGGATGGGCTGACAAAGTCCCTGAGCGAATCTGTCCTGTTGGGAGCTTCTTGGCTCTCAGGTGCTGCAAGATGGCTGAGGGGAAGATGCAGATGAGTAGGAAAAGTCGGGAAGGTACTGAAGAAGGCTCCAGCGAGGTGGGGCTGATGACACCTGTACAGGTACAGAAAGGCCTCCTAGGGGTTTCCTAAGAACAGGGTCATAAACCTGCAGAATCCCCAGCCCTCTCTCACATTCAAAACTCAGCCACAGGGACAAAGTTCTCCTTAAGAAGGACCCAAGAAAACGAGGGTCTCAGAAACTTGGCTGAGATGAATCAGTAGTAGATATAATAGTTAATAGTAGTAGATAAACGTCCTTTACAAGCGTTTTTTCTACTATGTCAAAATGCCCAAAGGATCATTTTCTCTGAATTAGCCATACTGCACATTTCAAACCAGCATTCTAAAACTGCAAAAACAATCCTTTTAAAAAAAGGAATGAAAACCTGTTGTAAACAGGGGCCAGTATCCTTCCGTAAGTAAAATCCAGTAGAATACTAGATATCCACAGTCCAGGCCTGGCCCAGGCTCAACACCCGCTGGGGAGGTGCGGAGCCTCGGCCGGCCAGTCTAGTCCCGGGCCTCAGCCATCCACCCTCCCTTGCCCGATCGGGCCGCGAGCCTCAAGAGAGACAATGGACAAGGACACAGCTACTCGGTTCACTCGCAAGATCCGTCGCCGTGTCCGGGCAGGAGGCAGGCGCCAGGCCTCGCAGGGCCCCGGAGGGACAGGTCGCGGGCCGTGCGCCGCGCGCCGTCGGGGCCCCGCGCGCGGGGCCTGGCGCTGGGCCGCGGGGTCGGTGGCCTGCAGGCGGCCGCGGGCGGCAACCGGCCGGGCCGGGCCAGGGCRCGGGCCAGAGGAGCCAGTGTGCCCCCGCGGCCGGGCGCGCCAAGTCCCTCGCGCTGGGCCACGCGGCCGCGGCGGCCCTTCTCGGGCGGCGTCCGCGAGCCGGGGCGCTTACCCGCGCGGGCGGCGCCTCGGCCATGGCGGCCTGCGTCCTTGCTGGGCTGCGATCCTCAGGCCTGGTGCGGGCGGCGGCGGCGGAGCGGGTGCCGCCCAGCCTCGGAGCTCCCGCCGGGCGGCCGCGAGCTGCGTCCCGAGCCACGTGCCCCGGGGGCCCTTTAAAAAAGAGCTGCGCCGGGCGGCAGCGCCCGTGGGCGCGCACAGCGCCCCCTGCAGCCGGTAGGACCGCACGCCCCCCGCGCCCCTCCGCGGGAGCCCGAGCGGCCGCCGCGCACCCACCTGGGTCGGCGCCCGCCGAGGGAGCCCGCGGGAAAGTTCAGCCCTGGGACCCAGCACCTGCAGGGGCCGCGCCCGCGCTGCCCAGCGTATGGAGACGCGCTGTTCCAGCGCCTCCAGCTGACGAGCGGGGCGTTTATTAGTGTGGGGAAAGTATGTTTTAAACTCCTTTTATTTTGTTTTACAGGACAAATGAATAGACCTAAGGAGAAATGTTTCATTCAATTTTAAAAAAAGAAAGAAAAGCCTCTCCTCCGCCAAGTCCTGTTTCGTACGGTGTCACCTTTTCAGTATTTCTGGGTGCCTTTCGTCATTCATCCTGGGGCCTACTCCGTGAGCAGGCGTCGTGGCTGTGTGTCCGGAGCCCTCCGTCCACCCAGTGCGACCTGCCCATCGCTCGCACCCGGGGATCCCGCTAGCCTTGGCTCCAGGCCACGATCACAGCCAGTTGACTTGTCTCCAGTGGCGACCCCGCTCCATCCAGAACGCTCTCTTTCTCTGTAAGGGGAGAGCCTTCCTCTGAACGCCAGAATTCACACCCGCGCATAGAGTCACGTGTGCTGCGTGCAGCTCAGGGGGTTTTTTTTCTCTCTGCTTTTTCTGCATCTCCTATTCATCTTAGGGTCTTTTTCCAACAAGCCAGAAAATTCTTTATACTAGATCGGAGGTTTTGTTTATTTGTATGTTTCGGTTTGTTTTTTGAGGGAGGCAGAGAATTATTTCACCCAATATTTTATTCTAATGTAAGTGTG